TGCACCGGCCAGGGCTGCAGCGCTGCTCATCACCTGCCCACCTTCCTCTCCCACCAAGGAGGGCAGGTGGATGCTGGAGACGGGAGGGCAAGGCAAAGCAGAAAGCCCCTGCGGGGAAGCAGGCAGAGCAGGAGCCATCGCCGCTGGCAGCAGAGAGCTTGAAACAAAAAGTACAATCGTTTCATCAGGCTAAATCTGGAGCACGAGTCCCTCCCTCTGCACTCCGCGGAGCCCGGCCAGGGCAAGTCGCGCAGCGCTGGAGCAGCTCCAAAGCTGGCGCTGGTGGAGACATGAGCGAGTGACAGGCCCGGAGCCCCGTTCGGCCTCCGGTGGAAGCCCCCTCTCGCGCGCCCCTCTGCAGCAGTCCTGCAAACGCCGTGCCGAGAGCAGCAGAGCCGTGACGGTCCACCTCCTGCCACGAGGCTTAGAAGGGCTGGCGAGCTGTCCAGGGAGAGATGGGCAGGGGGAGGAAAGCGGCAGAGCAGCTTCCCGCACCCCCGGGGAGCTGCCCTGGTTGCGTCTCATGCAGAGCGGCACCGGAGGATGGACTCTGCAACCCCTCCCAGAGAGCATCTGAGCTCCTCACTGGAGCACAGAGCTTTCACCAGCGCTAGCAGCGCTGCTGGGACACGTCAGCCTCCTGGCTTTCTCCGAGAGGAGCTAAACATTGATGGGAAGTTGGTCACCCTGCTCTACCCACCTTTACTCCACACCTGCCCCACCGGCCCTCCCCACCTTCTGGCAAGAGCCGTGTTTTACACCACAGCACAGCCTCTGCAAGGCACATGGCCAGCTGACGGTAGAGAGCACTGGGACATCGCTGCTCCGGGAGGTGGAAACGCTCCAGCAGTGCTGGACCCAAGCACTGCTCACCCTGCAGCACAACGGCTGTCAGCACGGTCCTGGTTATCAGAGGGTGCTCGCCACCGCTGGAAGCCAGGTCCTGGCTCCAGCAGCAAAGGCAAGACCAGGACAAGACTGGTCTCTGCCCAGGTGCTATTGCTCTGCGGGGCTGTTGAGAGATCATTCCCTGAGCAAGGAAATGCAGCTACTCAGCCCAAATCAGGAAGGAGGGGAAGAAGCAAAGAAAGCAGGAGGAAGCTCACCGAGCCCAGCAGTGCTCATTCCCCACGCTCTCTGTTCCCCTGGCTCTTGCAGCCCTCACCGTGCCAGCACTTGTACCCTGGGCCTGCAGCTACTGCTGCTGACTCCTGCTGCCACCCAGGACCCAACTCGCTGTCCTCAGTCCAACGGAGACTTGGGGAGGGACGAGCTCAGCCCTGACAACCTCCCCTCCTGCTACAGAGCAGGCTCCCACAGCTTCCTCAGCATATGCCCAGCCCCAACAGCACACAGCAAGTCCTGTGAGCCTCACAGGTAAGCAGCAAGGCTTGGCTGACAGGAGCCATGGGAGAAAGCGTGTGCCTAGCCACGTTGGCACTGAAGGGACACCAGGGACAGGCTGCTGAGGACACCTCCCACCACCCTTCAGGGCCATGCAAGCTGTTTTATAAAAAGAAAGTTACTCCCACGGGGTTCTCTGCATGCAGCAGAGGAGCTCGTGGGCTCTCCTGTCCGAGCACTGCTCTGCCAAGCTCGCCAAGCCGACAGACCCCACGCAGGCCAGCAAGCACCTCCCCACGCGCAGGGTCTCCCAGGCCAGCCCAGGTGAGACCAGCGGGAGAGCCGGGCGAGACCTCCACCACCGCAGCCCCCGGCTCTCACCTGGTACAGGAATCTTTGGCTGAACTGCTGCATGGCTCCTTGGAGCTGGTTTCGCTGGGACTGCCACTGCTCATAGTTCCTGACATATTCGGCCGTGGGGCGCTGCCATGTGGTGGTCCGGGTGTTGTGGTCCACGTAGTAGTACCTGCCTCGAGGATCCACACGCTTCTCCCACCTGGAAACATCAGAGGAAGATGTCCTCAGACAGCTCGGCAGGTCCTGCTGGCAGGTGCCTCCAGCTGCTGTGCAGCAACTCAATGCTAATGCTGGTGTGAAGGCAGCAGAAGGAAACCCCAGAGAGGTCGGGAGGCATAGCAGAAGGCACACCCCATGGTCCTACACCGAGGAACCTCCCATTGCCCTCGCCTGAGGGCTGCCTCTGGGGTCTGGACATGCAGCAGCAGCTTGAGAACATCCAGCTGCTGCCCCAGAATGTGTTGAAAGGGTGACCGAGAGGAGCACTGGGTTGTGAGCCACCTCCCCAGCTGCCCACGCTCCCCTTGTGCTCCCCGTGCAGTGGCTCAGCAGAGGATTTGTGGTCGAGTTCTGCCTCTCAGAAACACAGGTGAGAAAAGCAGCTCATAGTCCTCCGAGGGAGAGATAGCTGAGAGCTGCCAGGGCCCAAGGGTCCAGCTACAAAGACTGTGATTTTTCATTTCACTCTGACACTACAGGCTGACTTCAGACACTTGCTCTCTGGCTCCTCTCACAAGACTAAGATACCCTTTAACACAAGGGCTCCATGCCCAGCTCCAGCATAATCACCAGTTTCACAGCTGAAGGGGCTCTTTTGGACAAAGATCCACCAGAAGGAAATAGAAAAGACTAGCAAGACTTGAAGCACCTCCCTGCAAGGGCACATGAAGCCTAGACGGGATGGCTAGACACTAGCAGAGTTTGCACCAGGATGCCGTAAGCATTCCTCCAAGACAGCTGACCTCCGACAGAGGCAAGGCACTGGGTTGGAGACCTGTGCAGGAGGGAAGGAGCACACCTGGGGTCCTCCAAACCCACCTTTCCAGGTAACAGCCTCCCTCTTTTAACACCAGGCATTTTAAGCTGTTGTAGGATCAGAAAGCGGCTGCAGAGATCACAGCTTAACCGAATGTAGCGTGTGCCCACAGGAACCTGGAGGCTCCCGTGGAGGAAAACAGGACAGGTTTGTATTTCACTTTCACACATTACGCCGGCGGTTAAAGCACACTTAGTCATTCCAGCCTTGAACAAACTCAGTCTAGAGAACAACAACAGTTTGGCTGTACCGACTTCTCTGCTTTTAGGAGCACAAAGAGGTGAGAATTCAACAAGTTTCTGGAAAGCACGTGGCCTCCAGGGCTTTGTACAGCCTTTATGACCTGAAGACTTGTTTACTCCTGCAAATGAAAGCATGGCCCTCCTGGACATGAGTTTTGCGGAGTGCTTCCTGCAGGTCTCATGGAGCTGAGCAGCATCTTCTCGAGCATAAGCAGACCCCAACGTGGCTGAGAACATAAGAGGCCTCTCTGAGAGAGTGCGGGGTCCAGCTCCAGGTTTGGGGCACACGGAGCGTGCCTGTTTCTGCTCACCGGGAGCTCAGTCCTCATCTAGAAGCATCTGTTTTTCCAGGTGACATGAGGCCCACCCCCTCCCTTCTCCTGGTCCTCGGGGGGACTTTGCTGACACCCTGTCCTAAAGGCCCACCCCTCTGCTCTGCCCACAAGTGGTTGTGCTGCTGCTCGAGTGTTCAGTGATGTTCCATGGACTGTTTAAAAAAAATAATCCTCTAACAGAGGTCAAAACGCAACAGATTGGTTTACAAATGCTGAAAAGACCTTTCTGAGAATATAGGGTGTGCTTTCAGGCCAGTGAACACTTGGTCATCTCACCCCATTTCTTTTTAGGAATGAAAAGACCTTCCTGCTACCAATCCACTTCTCCTCTTTTGTGCAGACTCCCGTGCACCTGATACAACAAGTTAGTTCAGTACGTGAGATGCCAGCTGCCCCCAGAGGCCCTTACCCTGGAGGAAGAGGTCTCTCCCACGTGGTGGTCTTGTTGTTATGGTCTACATAGTAGACTCTACCATTAGGCAGCTCTCGCTGTTCCCACCTATAAGAAAAAAAGAAATCATGAGCCAGTTGATACTTGCTAGCACAGAGACCGAACCCTGGCTGAGGTGGAGCTACCAAAACAAACTGCCCTCCGCGATGCCAGCCGGAGTGGTGTGCCTCCTGCCGCAGGGCCCCCCGGGCCCCTGCCGCACCACACAGCGCTCCAGGGCCAGCTGGGGAGAGCAGCACCCCTCAGGAGGGGACGTGGAGGAAACCCGAGGCAGATGAGATGGCGCCTGTCCTCTCCTCAAACACAGAGATGAAGCGAAGGGGTTCAGCTGGAACAAGCAACGTGGATCCAGCAGCCTCAGCCCCTGCACCTGGGGGGCAGCGAGAGCCAGAGCCTTGCTACACGTAGGACCAAGAGACTTTGCAGGCACCCTCGTCTACTTTAAATCATGCCCGAGCAGCCTCCCTAGGAAAACTGTTTGCTGTGTACCCATAGACTCAGGCTGTAGCTGTGCAGCCAAGCCTCCCCCCCAGATCAGTGAGCTGTGAATAATTAATAATCACCTTATTACCAAGAATGTCCAGAGAGCTGCATCTGGCGGATTAGCAAGCCTACCTCCTTGCATTGCTTAGCTACAGCGTGCTAACCTTTATTTAAAATAAAGAATGACAGCAGGTCTACATGGCAGTTGCTTGGCTTGCTAGATCAGGACGATCAGAGACGTGCCGCAGCAGCCTGCTTTCTGAAAACAGGCATAATTTGGAGCATAAATTCCCGATTTCCTCCAGAAAGTAGGAGGGTCGGCATAAGATTTCACACAGGGCCAGTTTTATGTCCTGTGAGTTTTTGATGTAGTTTTTGTTTGGTTTCTCTTAATACGTCTTTAAAGGGGAGCCTTTGAGTTTGGGCTGGGGCTGAATTTTCTCTTTGGCGGTCCTCCTGCTCGCTGCTGACAGATACTGCTTAAAAACATCGCGTGGCCACAAGGCACTCGGTTTGGAGGTGGTCCCTAAGGGGAGCCGGTGCAATAGGGAGGCCTGGCTTTACACAGCTACACTGAAAACCATTCTTTGCCTTAATTCATTCATGAAAGTTTATGCCCTGGCAAAGGTAAAAGCTCCGAGGAGCACCGTGCCTTCCTGTCAGCTTTTATTCTGCAACAGAGAGGCGAGCCAGCAGCTGCTGACAGATAAAGTGTTCTCTTGCCACACTTCTGCTCCCACAGGTCTCCCTCCCAATTCAATCTTCAGTCTCAATTAATTATCACAAAAAGTCCTAGGAAATTAATATACCAGCTTCTGCTGTGACAGCAAGGGAACAAATCTGGGCTTGCAGAAAGCAAGAAGCCCTTAAGGAGGAGACACATCGAGTGTCAATGTCCCATCGCCCAGGCTCACACCATCCCTGCTCCCCCTCAAACCTCCCAGGGGACAGTGAAGCCACCAAACGGTGACCTCAGCCGCAACCACAGATCTGCTGTGACCACAGGTCGCGTGCATCACAGCCTTGAGACCGCTCTCGAAAGAGGTGGGAAGGCAGAAACGGGGAGAGCTTCAGCCGTGTTTCCAAGCCCTGGCAGCGTGCCGTCAGCTGGGGACCCCAGCGGTCCAGCAGCCACGCGGGCAGCCTGAAAAACCTCTGCCCTGGGCGGAAGGCAATCTTGCACTCTGAGATAAGAGTCAGTTCCCCGAAAGCAGGAGGGGAATGTGAATGCCAGGCTCAGGATTTAGCAGAGAGACTGTCTAACCCAAATCAGAGCTGTTGGCTTCGCTCCTATGGGCTTCTCAAAAGCACTGTCGACTTAATGCGTATGCAGAGACCAGGTGACATCTGAAGATAAAAGCCACCAGTCAGCAGCACTGCATCTTTCTCATCCCTAGAACAGATCTAGGGTCACCAGTGGTTATCTCTGATGGAAAGAGTCCAAAGCAGGACCTATTGCGCCTGTACACCTTTGACAGCGAGGGGCTGCCAAGCGTAACACCACCCAAAGGAGCGACCACGTGAGAGCGGAGCCGGCACTGCCCGGTGCTGTTCTGGGATGAGGAAGTCTTCGTCTCTCCGCCTGGCAGTCAGCCCTTTTCCTGGGTTACCCCTGGGCAGCGTTGGGTGTTGTCAGAGGGGAAACGCCTGGAGTTTCCTGTTCGGTAGCAATGAGCTCAGTGCTTCATGAGCATAAAAGCACCAGGACAGCTAAAAGACTGAAATCTCTAAAGAGAAAAATCAGCATAGCTGGGATTTCTTGAAGACACAAGCATGTCCACCCCATGAGATGGACGGCAGAAGGTCCCCGGGCATCTTCAGGGAGAAGGCAGAGCTACGAAGTGCCGCTGGCTGGAGAGCTGCCCCCACTGCAGGCAGAGCTTTGGGAAGCCCCTTCCTAGACCTGCACTGCAGGTGCTTCAGATCGCCACCAGCAACCAGATACAGATCCGGCACAAGGCGCAGGTGGAGGAACACTATTCGCAAACAAAACTCCAAGGCACAACTCCACTCATGAGACTTTGCAGGAGTCGGCATCCTGTGAAAACCCTTTAAGCATCATCTTTCCGAGGTCAGTTGTACATAACAGCCTCCTTTGGGCACATCCAGAGACTGCAGCACCACTCGCTGACAGTGAGGACAACCCCAGCCAGATGTCCCACCCGTTCTGTCCACGCTGACGTGCGGTGCTTCAGAGATGAACGGGACCCCAGCCTTGTGCACACAGAACCAGTGGTGCCAGCAGTCGTTACTGGACAGGACAGGTCCTCCAGACTCATTAACAATGGGTTCTCTGATCAATACACCTCTGAGGACTTGGAAGTCCTTTATGACAAGAGGCTTTCAAGCCCCCAGGTACCATTTCTCTGTGACTGTAGAGACCAGAAATCCCACGATGAGGCGGTCCTTGAGGGCAGAGGGTTTCTGGATCCCTCAGATAACTCCTCTGGGTGCCCTTGTGACTGCAGAGTCACGCAGGACTGGGGAGAGCTGCTGGTGGCAGCTGATTTATGTCCACTGTCCCCATTTCACAGCCTATACAAACAGGTGACAAGTTCACATGCTCCTCAGGTCAGCAGCTCCCTGGTGATCCGAAACGTAAATTTGCTGAGGGCTGCCTCGCCCTACGAACAGTGAATCGCCACCGTTAAACAGCAAGCTGTGACGAACTCTTATTATCGCTGACACACAGCAACAGCCTCAGAAACAGGAGCACTGGGGGCAACCCATCCTTGCTCAGACCACCTTGCCCAGCTCTTCACAGGCTTCAGCATTTTCGAGCTTCCCTGCATCCCGTCTGCCGACCCGCAAGGGACAGCTCAGGGAGATGTACGACAACGGGCTCTTCCTCTGGGGAGCCTACATCCAGCTGGCGTTCCTCCCCCGTGCCTGCTGCCACATCGCCACCAGCAAGGAAGATGAGCAGTTTAGCAAGCGCTAGATGGTGGGAGCTCTCACCCATGTGCACCACTGCTGCAAGCACGAAGCGTGCGACGTGTCGGCTCCCGCTAGCTCCCCTCCGACCGACCGCAAGGCTTGCCATGGCAGTGGATACAGGGAGCCATGGACGGTGTGAAGTGGCAGTGCTGAGGCAACCCTGCAGTCCAAACAAAACGCCCTCCTTATGTAAGAAACCACAGCCCCATGCCTTCTGCCAGGCAGCATAATGTACCTCTTTGTATGGGCGAGACAGCGCTGCGTATACATAACGACCGTCTGTCCCCCACGCAGGATCATCACTGATAGGAACCAGATGCAGGAGCCAGCAGCTCTTGTGCCCTCCCCCCTTTCGCTATCAGTCCGCTCGGAAACCCCTATGTGAGAGCCGGGACCCCACGCCGAAGGCCTTGAGAGCTGCGACCGGCTGCTCCTGTGCCACACACGCTCCCCAGCTTCGCAAGGAAACATGCTCTGCCCAAGCCAGGAGGATGTGAAGGAGGTTCTGGGCACTGTCAGGGCTGGAATTATTCAGAACACCTTCCAGCACCCTCCAGCCCCTAGAACAGACTCCCGGTTGTGTGAGAGATGCCTTTGTGCCTGCCACATCTGGTGCAGATGTTCAGAGACAGCTATCTGAGCAGAAAAAATAGCTCTGAATCCCCACATGAACCCAGCCGCTCTCGACTCCATCTGCACGCAGCCTGGCGCAAGCAGGGAGGCTGGGGCTCAGCGCACCCACCAGCACACAGCTAGGAAAAGCTGCCACCCCTCCAGAGGCTGAAGGGAAGTCGAGCGTGAGTGCTTTCCACGCTCCCACGGATAAAAGGAGACTCTTGGAGAATGAAGCAGGGCTCCTGCAGAAAGCAGGAGAGACAAGACAGCTTTCCAGCTCTTCAGTGCCAGAGCGACTGGCTGCTCTGCCGGGGACGTCACTCCTGCAAGCGGCAAAGCAAGAGCGATCATTCGGGGGCTCTGCAGCACTCTCTGCACAGCCATCTCTGCAGGAGCCAGGCCAGTGAGGGGCTATCCTGCACTGCTTTCTGCGGAGCACGCTGCTGCCAGAGCCGAAGTGGCCTGGTTTTGTCTGCATCCCTTCTGCCGGAGACATCGCTGCCTCCACCAGCCCAGCCAGCTGCATCCCCATCTCCCAAGCTGGGCCCCAAACCACTAGTCAAACCAATACCCTGGTGTGGTGAGCCAGCCAAAAATCAGCTGCCCTAGATCAGGTCTCAAGAGATCCCCAGAAGCTCATTTATACCACCGCAGGGCCACAGTGTTTTGTGCAATCCCTGTTTAGCAAATCCCTGCTTGTGCAAACCCCTGTTAGCCCAGAACCTGGTCTGGCCGCTCTCAGGGCAGGGCTTGCACCACGGAGACCTCAACGGACTCAATTCTCCACTCTCCTTCAACTGGGAAGACCTTGATACTTGGTCTCCATCTGACCAAGCAGGTCAGCTGCTACCCAAGCCAGCCCAGCATGAGCATGTAACTCGGACGGCACATGCAAGAGGGTTGCTGCCCTCTTTCCCCCCTACAAATCCTACGGTCAGGACAGGGAGGGACAGATACACACGGTGCTAATCAAAGGTGTATCCAGAGATCCAAATTCCACAAGCTCAGCCTGGAGGACAGCTCGCTACACCTTCACTGCTCTTCTCCAGCCGTCTCCCAAAGTGCAACAGTTTTATCCTCCTCCCTGCTCTGACATGCACAATTTTCTGGTGTGTGAGCACCGCGGGGAGACAGGCACAGGGAGGACACGGGGCCACCCTTCCACCCGGCTGGACCAGGCAAATGCAAGCCTGGCATGTCTTAGAAAACAGGGCTTGCAACCTCCCCGAGCCTCCGGAAACCCTAATCGTGAGATACCCTCAGGCTCCTCTCCGCCCTGGGAAAGAAACTACAGCCTGTTTCCACCTGGGGCCGTGCAGAGGTGGGGAAAAGGAGACCTTCAGTCTACCTGGTAGGAGCAGAAAGGGGCATAAGCTCTGGCTGGAATAAAGACCTTTTTCAGAGCACTGGACTTTTCCAGCTGCCTGGAAACAGGAAGCGCCCAGGCCAGAGAACAGAAACCCTCACACACCCCGCATAAAGGCACACTGAGCCGTTAACCCTAATTACCTGTGACTGACACACGAGCGAGGCCCTGACCTTCCAGGCATCGCCTCAGCCAAAGGAAAATAAACAGCTCCCTTCATACGAAACACAAGCCATTTTCAAAACCCCCCCTCGCCTCTTTGCGTTTTCAGTCCAGAATTAAAGGTGTCTGAAATACAAGGGGAGAATGACCCAGCTGCAGCAGGAAGGGGGGCTGAGCCCAGAGCCTGCCCACCACCCCCACCAAGAGACAGCGAGCCCACCGGCATGGCTCAGCCGGCCCCAGCTCTCCTCCCAGCCCCTTCCCCCACATCCCACGGAGGAGGAGGAGGAGGAGGAGGATGCAGAGCATCCGCACCAGGGAGACAAACGGGCACAGCTATAAGAAGGTCCTGCCCACCGCCCCCCAGCAGCGGCCAATGCCTCCACGGTGTCTCTGGAGCGCATGTTCATGCCCTCCTGCTCAGAGGGAGCTCCCTGGAAATCCATGCTCACTCTCTCACGCATTTTCCTCTGACTGATCCCTTCAGCGGCCCCAGGAGAGCAGAGGACTCTGCTGCTCCCCTGGGCATGGACACCGAGAGGCTGCTTGCTGCAGAGATGCGATTCACAGTTTATTACCCTAGAGACCCAGAGCGGACACAGATCAGACCCCGGCCCAGAGGAGGAGAGAGGAGCCCACAGCACAGTCACAGGCTCTGGCCTAAGGAGGACAGGCTGTGCCAGGGGAGCGGGGGGCACAGGGATCCCTGACAGGCACTCCCAGGCCCCCTCTGCTCTGCTGAACACCAACATTTCCACTGACTCCTGGTGCAGCACAACCCGCTCCCTCAAACATCCTCTTCTTCCAGCACACAGCAGTGCCCCAGTTTGCTCGTGTCCCCCCAGCCGCCCTTCCAGGGCCCTGCCTCCCTCCCCGAGGGCCACAGGCACTCTGTTGTGCTGGCCCTGTCAGGGGACAGAAAGTCTCAAGCAGAAGGCAGAGCTTACCCGGGGGGCAGAGCATCCAGGGCTAGCACCGCTGCCCGGGCCGGTGGGGCGCTGGAGCCGGAGGCTGCCTCCTCTGCCTCTCCAGAGCTGGTAAGGGCAGGAGCGACAGAGCTGTCAGCCACGCTTGACGCCGCCACGGTCGGTACAGTCTCTCCCGCTGCCGGCCTTTCCTCTTCGATGTCTGCAGCACCCGCTGCGTCTCCGTTCACTGGAAAAGCAGAGGGTAGAGACATTAACACCCAGAAAGGGTAACGGGGGGCCCGTCTGGTCTACCACACCCACGCAGCCCTGGAAGCAGAGCACGTGGTGGATGGCAGCCGCTACCACCCAAGCACGGGACCCACGGTGCTCCCAGCCTGCAGCAAAGGCAGCACACTCCCTTCACCCAGCAGTCAGATCCCTCTGTGAACCACTGCCGCTGCCTTTTGTCCCGAGACAAAGGCAGAGGGTACTTTGCATTTGCGCTCAGTATCTCTTCTGCCACTTGCAAACATGCCGCATGCCTGATGGGAATTCAGGTAACGAGCAGGAGCCCAGAAAGGGCCGGCGCAGTGTTCCCCCCAGGCAGAGGGAAGCCCGGGCTCAGCAAGTCGGCTGCTGCACTGGTAAGAGCTAAACGTTGCTGGATTTCACTGAACTTCTGGAAAAGGGAATAGACAGAGCAAAGGAAAATTACAAAGAAAACTGATGAGGAGGAAAATGCAGACCAGAAAAAAAATGAAAGGGGATTTGTTTGACAAATATTTATTAGATAGCCAAAAAACCCTGAGACTTGGCAGTCCAGCAGAGGATAACTTTCGCTACAAGACATCCTGGCTTCAGTGGCAAAGCAAAAGCATTAAAAACAAACCAGCAACAAGTAACAAAGAAGTAAGGGATGCAGACAGAGCTCCACAAGTTAGAGTTGAGAAATGTAGAAAACTGTAAGGGAAGTATCTGTGTCTACAAGCCCAAGTATTTAGAATTATTGTAGGAAAAAACCTCACAACAGTATAAACCCCCACAGACGGGAGACTGAAGAACTACAGACGCTCTGTAGAAGAGGCAGACTACTCAGGACGCTTTTGCTTTGCGGCTGGAGTGAAGCAGGACAGCATCCTCCAGCAGCGGACGAATCTTGGCACACAGCATCAGCAACTAAAGGAGCCCCTCAGGCAGCATCTACGGACGATGAAGGTTTCCAGGTCAGCAGGCTCACAGCAACTTCCACCGGAGTCCTGCAAGACTCGGGTGAGGAGGTCTCTGACTGCTACTCATTTCTAGCAAGCCTTGGAAAGGGCAATTTTAGAAGCTTCCCACACGTTGTGCTAATCTTCAAAGGGAACCTGCAGAATGACCCAGGTAACTACGCTGTGATCGGTTTGATCTCAGTCCTGGACACAACAGGGGAAAAGCTGATCCAAAGTTCACCTGACAAGGAAGGGCTCCGGAGGGAACACAGCTAGGGCTAAGCAACGTGGCTGTGGAGAAAACATGCCATGAAATAATCTCCTTTTATTGTCGAATGAAATTACAGCTTTGAGTGACAGATGTAATGGGGATGTTCTTGCAACAGTCTGCTCAAAAAACATGATAATATCACCAAAATGTACTAAACTGAGGAGGAAGAGGATGGTTTCCAGAGGCATTCCACAGAGCGTAAGACCGGGTTGTCCAGCCCTAATCCCAGCAACCTGAAACACTCATCTCCCATCCTGAAGTGTAAAATCACCACCAACGGGACTTGCGGGAGACACAGAGGTAGGCAAGTGGTAAACAGCGACGAGGACGGCACAGTCATAAAGCCACTGGGGAGGCTGGGGCTGGGACAATAAAACATGTTTTAAATAAACCAAAGCCAGGGAGTCAAGTTGTAGTCGCAGGAACAAAAGTTGTCCACAGCCTGAGGGAGCGTCCCCTGCACAGCGAGGACGCTGGGAAGGGCTGGGGGGGCACAGGGGACACCGCGCAGCATTCGCTCCTGGTACAGCGCTGCGCCAAACAGGGCAGAGACGAGCCGCAGCCCCGGGGAGGAGAGCACAGACCGGGAGTGACAGCGGAAAGGCAGCATTTCACATCAGCCTTCCGCTCCCCCGTCTCCCTTCCCAAAATGGGTTTTGGCAAAATTGAAATTGCGTGGCTCCAGGTTTTTCCAATGAAACGGAAAAAGAAAAAAAAAAGTCTTCCTTTTGGGTTGAACAAAACATTTCTTTCTACCCGAAACAAAGCACTCTGCTTCTCCTTCCAGGTCTCCGATAGAAGCAAAAGAAAGGATGGCCTGCAAAAGCAGTGCAGGGGAGCAGGAGATGCCACACTGCTTGGCCAGCTCCATGGAGCCAGAGAAGGAAAACAGATAAACCGCTTGTAGCTTCGTAGTCAGGCACTCAGCAGGTCCCAGACCCCGCTCTACAAAGTATTTATGGCTTGGTGAACAAACCCAAGAAAAGACAAGAGAAACCCTTCCAGAAATACCCTCTGGCGTAAGAATCAGCCCCCTTTTGAGAGGCTGGTTTGTGCCTTCTCTGGTGCTCGACATGACAGCTGCTCCTCCCCACGTCGGTGGGCAAAGAGCTCAAAACATTTTTGCTGAAAACTGATGGGCAAATTCAGCTGAATGCTCCCAACCCTGAAAAAAGTCCACCCAGCTGTGATAACTGTCCTCCTTGCTGTGGCATCAGTGACATTGCTGTCCCAGTATCCTTTTAAACACCTGGTGCTGGATGCAGTATTTTTTCTCAGGGAGACTCCAGAGAGGAGCCACAGAAATTATTCACGACAGGCAGAACAGATCCTACCAGCGCACTCTGCGGAGCTGCCCAGCTTATCAAAAGTAAAATCAATAAAAATCAATCAATTCACAGGGAGGAAATTCCCAGGCACTACAAGATCTGTTATCTTAGCAGAAATTCATTTGCTCCCACAAAACACAGCCCCGAGCTCTGTCCCCGCCACCTCCCACGAGCACTGGTTCACCTGTGCCGTTGGCCGTGCCGTTGGCCATGCTGGCGTGCTGCGTGCTCTTGGCCTGCTGCCGGTGCCGGCTCCTGGTGCTGGGACTCTGCTCTCCGCTCCCCGCGTTTTGCCTGGCCACTCCACCTGCATGTCGGTGCGTCCTGCAAGGGAAAGAAACACGGGAGATGAGACACACCACTGGCCTCACAAAGAAAACCCTACTCCTGCCTTTTTGCCTCCATCTTGTGCTACTTCTCCCGCAGCACAGCCATCGGTCTCTCCCGAGAACAGCCAGGATGCAGCCACATGCCTCTGCTCCTCCGGCAGAGCCCTGAACTTCATGCTGCTTACTCGGACCTGCCAGCCTGCCCACGGGTCAAGGCACCCGACTGACGTGGCGGAGTCCCACGGAGGAGTAACCTGGGTGCCAAAAACCTTGCTTTTGTTTGCAGGTGCTCACCCCGGCTGCCCCACGCGCTGAGGAACGGCCCCGGGCACCCACATCCAGAAACCTGCTTGCAGCACCAAGCCTCCACAGCCCCCGGCAGTTTGCTCCTTCCACCCCTGCAATAAAGTTCCCAGGAGAGATCCCACACCAGCGCCAGCTCCCGCACCGCGGTGCCGCGCCAGGCGCTGGTGGGAACCCTCACCGTGCCTCCCGCCCGGCTACAAGCTTTGCACAAAAGCAGGTGAGGAAGGTGCAAGTGTTCACCGCTGCCGGGACAACTGGGACACGTGGCCTCT